TTTACTTTTGTGTGTTTTTGTCAGGCAGAAATTTATTTATACCCCCTGAGGGTGTAAGAGGTTAACATTCACCTCATTTTCACCTATTCTGCATAACCAAATGAAAAAGCAAATAACTGTCTGCCCAAATTTAATGTGCAATCCATCATTTGAAAGCAAACTTTTTCTAGTTTCTGAATATAGGAATGAAAGTTGGGCGAGTAAAACACAGACCAAGCTGCATCAGTTCGAACATGACTCAAAGTAGTTTTTTTATGTTTGAAAATGATTGGTCTTTTTCAAACAGCAGTAATATAGACATGCTCAAGAAAAGGCTTGTTGTTTTATATTCGTTCTACATCATGTCAGCCACAAATGCAGAAACTTTCAGACCTGTAGCTCCAACAGTTCCAGAGCTGTGAGGTTTTGAACCTTTGACCCACAGAATAACACTGAAGCATTTTGATGGCATCAAAACATTTATGAAGCAAATATTTTCCACTTTTTTTCAGAATCAGTTTATTAAAAATTTAATATTTCCAAACATAAAATAACATAAAAATCTATAGAAAAAAGCGAAACTGCTGCTTTTCAAGGTAAAATAAGCCCCAGTGTCTTTTCTGAGCTGTATTTTGTTGTTTTTTTTAGCCTTAGGCTTTGTAATAACACAAAATCAGCGTCCAAACTTAAAATAAAACAGGACCGTTGTTATTATTCAGCTTGGAGCTGCTGGCATTGATCCCCTCTCAGCTGTGTGTTTCACTCTTATGCTGCGTTCACACCGGACGCAGCTGGTGTGACAGAAGCAGCGAGTTTACATGCAAAGTCAATGGTTGACGCGCGTCAAGGCGCAGCAAAAGGTCCCGCGGTGCGTTTTGAGCAGCAGGCGCAGCGCGTCTGAGCAGCTGAAGCAGCGCGTCTGGCGCGTTTAAGCATCTGACGCGCCGCTGCTCGAGATGGAAAAATTTAATTTTTGCTGCTCGACGCGCCGCGCCAACCAATCAGAGAAGCTGATCTGGGAGCTGGCAGAGAGACAGACACATCGCTGATGATACAGAGCGCTGTGATCACTCCTCTGAAACAGTTTACTGACGCATAAATTAAATTAAAATTAAAAATTAAATATGTTGGCTTTTATTATTCTGGTGCCTGCAGATCGGATTATTTAGATGAAAAACACCTACCAGCCGCCGCGGTGAACCGCGAGGAGGCGACCCGGCCAGAGGCTGCTGTTGAAGGGATTCCTACTGCCGGTGCACCGCTGGTATGTCGGGGTCTGAGCGGCTCCGACAGAAATAACATTGGGAGGCAGGATTGTAATCTGGATGAACTGAGTGCACTGATTA